GGAATACTAATGGTAGACATACACACTACGAGAAATCGTTACGATTAGACTGTACCGTCCGAACGGTACCGATAAATCGTAGCGTGTATGTTATAAAACTGCACAGTTTCCTATACGTACGCCACGTACGATAAACTGTTCCGTTCGAACTGTACAGTCTGATCGTAACGATTTCTCGTAGTGTGTATGGCTACCATAAGGTCCGTATAGTATAGAAAGATTCTCAGTGATTGATCTAGTGTTGAGCATAGTTAGAAAGAGATGTCGCTATATATATCACATAGCGGTATCCCTTTCTAACTGTACTCAAGTAAAGATCAACACTTAGTTGTCATTCTGTAATACGGGCCAAACAAACAGGACATTGAATTTTATTTATGTTATTTGTTTCTAGAATGTGTGTAAATGTGGCATTTTGTGGATGTGATGAGTTTTTAGCTGGGTCTAGTCTGCAAAATAAGTCTTTAATGTCATTGCTTCATGGTTTGTTTTTCGTTTTCCTTGTAAATGTGTTGTAGTGTTATTTACTATTGAGATGAGATTACTGAATACAAAGAAAATATAACTAGAAAAAATTCCACGCGGACCATGCAGCAGACGGGACTCGAACTTTCACCCTTCGCAATCCGGGTGAATGCACTGACCAATTATGCTACCGCGGCCCTCACGGAGCGCGTCGAAATTCTTCTAGCCATTCTTAAGGTGCAAGGCAGCGGCAGAGGCAGAAAATTCCACGCGGACCAGGCAGCAGACGGGACTCGAACCCGCACCCTTTGCAATCCGGGCGAATGCATTCAATACGGCCCTCACGGACCGCGTTGAAATTCTTGTAGCCATTCTTAAGGTGCAAGGCAGCGGCAGAGGGCCGCGGTAGCATAATTGGTCCGTGCATTCGCCCGGATTGCGAAGGGTGCGGGTTCGAGTCCCGTCTGCTGCCTGGTCCGCGTGGAATTTTCTGCCTCTGCCGCTGCTTGCTGTATCCATGACTGATCCGAATAAATGTTTTTTCATTTCATTTTCATTTATTTTCTGTGGAGAATTAGAAACCTTACATACAGACAGAAACACAACACTACTACTAGGTAATTTAATTTTACTGGTTTTACTCTCTGTATTCCTATCTACATAAGTCAACAGTTAGCTCCTGTGGTTATCACCTGTGTACTCAACGCTACGCAAATCACCAATACCCGACGATTTTGGTTTCTAAGCGACTACCACAATACAAAACAAAATGTTGGCAACGCTTGCATGTGTACGACCTAAATTGTTAACTTCTTAGTATCTTCGCCGCGCCTCTCCTGGTGTGCTCTGAACCTTATAGAGCATCTCTACTAGGGAAAGTTCTGCTCTATTGCAACAGTCCTACAACAAGTTATGCTTCCTAAAAGTCAAATATTATGTAAAACTAGCGGCCCGCACTCGCTTCGTTTCGGTGTAGAGCTGAAGTGTAGACTACAGTTTTTGTTCTCAGGCTTGTGTTATACACAATGACATTCATCTATGATTCTTCTTATACCTGCATGCAAAGTCTCAGCCCGATCGGTTTAAAATTGACAAAGTTTCATACAAACTTTCATTCCCTATTTTATCCCCTTGGGGGTAGAATTGATCAAAATCCTTTCTTAGCGGATGCCTACGTCATAACATCTACCTGCATGCCAATTTCAGCCCGATCTTCCAGTGGTTTGGGCTGTGCGTTGATAGATCACTATTTCAGTCACCTTTGAGTTATATATATATATATATATATATATATATATAGATTAAATTGCACGCGATTGGTGATCTGATTAAAAATGTTTTAAGAACTTTATATACATATTTTCTTCAACCTTGTTTTACATTTTATAATTACTGGTAATTGTTCTAATGACATCGAAGCCATTAGCTTAAGCTCATCCTTGCTTAAAACGACGATACATCATAGCGGACTACTTAACCGACCATCCCTCCATCAAATATTCAAGATAAAAGAGGTAATGCCGCTGCTGGGCCACGGCACGCCTCGACTCGTAAAAATTAAAAATTCCCACCGCGTCGCATCGCTCCGCGCACCCATCAAGTGGCCAAATGAGTTTGCCTGTATTTACAATTACGTGACGTTTTCTGGCCACGGGAATGTAATGAGAATGGCCGCTTGAATATATGAAGCAATTACCGCGGCGCCCGTTGCAAGCGCAGATGAAACTAGCGTTTAAGCAACTATAGTACAGCTACAAAAGATACCGGGTAACCACAAAGCGTCGAAAGAGATAGCCGATCGTTCGTTCATTTGCTGCTTCGAATACACTCAATAAGTAATCATAAGTATAAAATTTTGGAATGTTGTCCTTGACAAACAGGCGGGAATTACTGGACATTATATTTCTTTCTAAATTGGTAAAAAACGCCATTGATTCTTCGCAGCTACTAGCACTCTTCAAATTCCGAGCACCATCTAAAATACCGCGCAAACCAATTACATCACTTTGTCCACCCTTGAGAAGAACGGCACTTGGTTCCAACTCCCCCATTGCGAGATTATCCTATACTCTAAACAAATATAGTGACATTTTTGACATACATCATGACTCTGTGGTCTCATTGCGAAACAAATTGTATGATCACATATTTCCTCCAAATTCATAAAGAAAAAATATAAAAATATTTTGAAACAGATTTAAAGAAACACATTAAGCTTATGTATAAGTGGTTACACATTATATCATTGAATGTAAAATTGTATTAAATAAGATGTATTGATGTAGTAACTGTTGGTGATCCAATAAAGAGAAAAAAAAAAATAAGTATTATTCATGATCCCTAAATAATGATGTTTTTGAAATATATGCATTTTTATAGCAATTTTATCGTAACTTAAGTCAGTAGTTACAAGCTTTCAGTTCCTTCTGTATTAGAAAACTAATGTTCTGCCCCGACTTTGCATTAGCAAAATGTATTTGGACACGGTTAAATAGTAATGTTACTCGTAAATAATTTAGCTTGCTAAAGGTGATAGAATTTTTTAAATCGCCCCAATATAGTGAATATCAGCATAGTTATTTCGTCATGAACATACATAAATTAATTTATTGTTTCAGTTTATAATATTAGTATTGATGAAACTACTTACGGCATTGTTATCTACCTCCTTTTCTAAATCAATAGTAAATCTTAAATTAAGCAAATGGAATGGTAAAAGGCATTTGACAGGTTTGGACAATGTGACCTCTTATCATTTGAACATTTTGAGTCTGTGATCTAGTAATGTTTTATTAAAATGAATATTAAACGAGGTCGAAATTTGGCCAACGCCAAATGGTTAGCGGGAGGCGGTCAGAGACGCTGTATGTATTCAAAGTTGCATAATTTCAGCTTTAACCTAAATAGTAAATAAATTACGTGAATAAAATAACGAATACATGACTGGAGTGAGTTAATTATACAATAACTGTCTGCTGTTGATGCTGCGGGGGATTAATTAACTAAAAAACAATGAAATGCAGTTAATAAAGAGAAACCTACTTTTTGTCTGAGATTAAGATCGATCGATAAGAAATGCCTTTAGTTTTACATCAAACATTTCTACGTAATCGGATAATTCTGATTAAAAAATATTCCGACGAAATATTTTTTAATCAGAATATTTGTTCGACTTATTTTATTTACCTACTTATTTTCAAACTCAATTTTCTCCTAACGATGAATACCACTTACAAAAGACTTAGGTACATTTATTATTATAAAATAACCCGTAAATACGATTCGTATTAAGAACGAATAAACCAATTACAGAAAACTTATTCACCTGAATGCTGCCTTTCATCAATAGACAGATCAATCTTCCCGCAGCCTTGTCGCTAATCGAAATTATTTATTCCTAAAAACCGATTAACAATTTGAATGTCTGTCAAAACCCACACTTCTTTTCTGAAGCTATTTAATGAAACGCGGACCAGTCATCGCGTAATCATTTACATCGCTCGATTCGGAGTTTTTAGGACAAGCCACTCGAACGGCAGGTACTCATTCGGGAAATAAAAGAGGTTCGCTCCCGTCGTATTAATACTAACAAAAGCTCACCGGGAAAATTGTAAAAGAGAGTTTTCCGATGCGATGAGTAATTAAAACGCTTACGCCCTCCAAAAATAATCGAGCCAGGTGGCAGTGACGCGAAGACTGGGGTCACACACAATTAGCGAAGAGTGCCACTCAACATCACACGTTAATTCCCCACTTGCACAAGAAAAGCTCTCTTGAAATTAAACTCAATTTTTGGACGGCTTTGTCGGGCGCTAACCGAAATGGGTGCTCCAACCGCTTAATTCCCCCGTACTCAGCTCAGCTATAATTGTCTTGGTACCAGATTTTTTTTCTTGGAGAGCTTTAATCCGATGTTCGTTCTCAAAGTGGGATTAACACGGTTTAAAGTCGAGGTTTTATTATGATACCAGGTAGAGAGTTAGCTTCGTATGTTCAGTTCACCGGGTGGATCTAACAATTTCCATTTTGTATGAGAATAAGTAGCGCAATGAGGGTGCTAGGAATATCCTAGAGATAATGCAACAGAATATTTTTATCGTAAAGACTTCAATTTGGTTCAAGCTTAGCGTTTTCATTATATTGCGGATATACTTTAATGAATTTTTAATTCTCCTAAGAAACCCATCGCAAAATATTAATCTTTCAACAAAAAGTTTGATTATGTTTGTCCGATCCAAGTCAAAGGCAAACTTTGTATATTAAAAATAAAACTAAAATTGAATGCCTTTTCCCTTTTTTAGATAAAAATAAAGATAAATATGTGTGTGTGTGACAAATTTTCTAAAATTTTATGCGAGTAGTATTGGACTTCATTGTTATTTTTAAGTTGATTGAGTAATGGTATTTTGTTACCGTCTTCGTTCAGTTTAGGATCTGGAAATAATTTACAAATATCTTAAGCATTACTTTACTTAACCTTATCTAAATGATTATCATTCATGATGTATAAGAATTCATTTTTGTTTATCGTTTACCTTTCTTCCTCCTATCCACCGATATGGGCTGGCCATCTTCTCTCCTCCACATGATCTTAGGATTCGGGAATCCATCAGCTTTGCAAACGAGGCTGATGTTCTGATTTTCTCTGACTGCCACCGCTGACTGAGTGCTTTCTTCATCCAAAATGTTCGGTGGTACTGAAACCAAAACACAATTTTACTTTCGTTCGTAGAAATTTAAAAAGCACGATAGACGTATATTGGGTAAATACGATTCCTAATCAGATAATTATGAAAAAGATAAGCAAAATATTTTGGAAGCCGTCTCTGTTATGAATTGATATTACTTTATTATGATTATTTTTTTAGAAACCCACTGCACTTGCACTTCAAAATTCCAAACTTCTCATAAAATAAAGACTCGAGATATTCTTGACTTCGTTAAACTAAACGATTTCGCAATGGAACAGTTAAAATACCCCATGAAATAATTTAAAAAAAGGTTACCAACTTCTTCGATTCTTTCAGAATGGCTAATAAACCTTCCAATTTAACAGTCCTTAAAACTAAGCAACAAAGCGAAGATAAAACCAACCACGAACTCGGAGCGGATCGGAAAAGGCAACGTTTTATTTCTACTTGAAAGTTGTGACTGCGATTCTAGCAAAATAAAAATCAGAAGGTCTGTGCATCGACAAAATTGAACGTGCCACCCAAACCTTGAAAATGAACTCCATCACTTAAAACTTCATGACTTCATTACTTTAAATGCTTTTTAATAATGCTATATCTTTGAAGTATTTAGTAAAATTTTCATGATGTGAATTTTTCATGTAATTACCCAAGTAACTTTTTCGCTTATTTGTTTAAATCATCAATTTGAATAGAAGCATGGAAGTAATAAATAAGTTTCCGCAAAGTAAAAAAATATTTTTTTACTAATTGCCATAAATTTGATATAACTAAAGGGTACATAGAATAGCTCCTCCGTTCCCCGGAAGGCACGTTAAAGCGTTGGGCTGTGCAGTGCCGCGTGGTGCATCACGACCCAATCTCAACATTGCATCCTTAGAAAAGGCCTATGCCCTAGCAATGGAGACATTAATAGGCTAGTGATGATAAAGAATAGCTGAAGAAAACTGAATATCTTGAAAATTATAATTATTATTTTTATTTTATTAAGAAAACCAACAGCGTATACCTCAATAAATAACAGATAGTATTTTACAGGTAAGTCTGGCCAATTATAGGTTTCTCTTTATTTAAAAATAGTAAGTGTACATTAGAGATGATTAATTATATGCCAACGAATAAATTAAGTAACAGTCATGAGAAAAAAATACAAACAATATACAAACAAGTAACTCTATGGAGTTTTAACATAGGAGATTATCAATAAAGTTTCATGAACGTATGGTCCTTATAATAAAATTGTCAATGTAATTTAAGGAACATTATGGAATGCGATGCGATGAATAAAATAAATATTTCGTTTACAAGACATACTATCGTGATTGTGCGCTGTGGCTCACTGGAGAAGTGAGTGCTTTCCTCCCAATCGGTTACTGGACACGCCTATGCTATTTCGGTCCTTACATAGTGTACATATTTCCTTTACTTCACTTATACAAAGTTTGTGAAATTATAACTTATTTTGTTGTAGTATCAGTAACGAAGTAAGTAGCACTAAAACTACCTCGTAAAAGTTATAATGTGATGAAGTCAAACATTGTCTTGTCCGCTGAAAATTTATTCAAAATGAAATTACGCAAAGTTTGTGTAGATCTTTTAAAAGTTTTATTTTATTTAATTTTTATATCGTTAAATCAGTTTTGAAACGACTGTTTAAAATCATATATATGAATCTTATATTAACCCACAATTATCCCTAGTAAGTGACTTTGAAGCCAACAGACATTAGCCGTTTCTTTTTTTTTATTTTGGTTGACTTTCTTGTATCGCTTATAGAATTATGGATTTCGATTATTGTGTCCTTCTCAAAACTTAATAATTATGAGTTAATTTAGAAACTTAACACAAGTCAAATAGGTTTGTCATAATAATAATGTTTCTGAAAATTTATCACAGACTCCTGAACTTCAAGAATAAAAATCTTTAAATAGAACCCGGTATCGTTTCAAGAGGGACATCCCTAATTCATTGCTCCCGCGGAATCAAATGTAGCTAAATAAATCTTTTAAAGTGAAACCGCGTACCTACCTTGCACATTTTTCATATGATGCCATAAATTTAGAAGGAACAGCGTAAAAATTAGTTTTTTATGTAAATTAATAAAAGATAAGTTTTGTGTTGGGTAGGTACTTTTTATGGCATAAATGGTCGTGCGGTTTATGGGAATTTTTGCTTTATACACTTAACCTGTCGACTCCGACTACTATACAAAAGGTTGAAGGAAAGAAGAAAGAAAGAAAAAGTATTTATTGGCCATAAGTTGGTACATAAGTAGAAAAAGAAAACAATGAGCAAAAACAATAAGATTAAAACAAAACAGAGAAAATACACATGAGAACAAAGAATGGCTAATCAGGACCAGGTTGCATCCACTAAAGCGGTTTTGACTAAATGATGTAAATTATGTTGTATAGTTGTGAAAAGAAGGTTACAGGATTAGTACTGCATATATGACTCAGAGACAAAGGACACCTTAAATCTAATTAAATAGGTAAATGTAGGTTTAATGGCGTGGAGATCCTGTAGAATTATCTTTCTATTTGTTTGAACGATAATGATTGAAATTTTATAAATAGTCAATTATTTCTATGAAATAACTTCAGTTATTATTTTAATTTACTTATTAGCTTCTTTATTTTGAAGTCCAGTTTTCAAGATGGACAAAAGAAACACATTGTACCTTCTCCTTTGGTCCTATAAAATTCAAACTTGCTAGTGATTGATACTCCAGAAAAATAATTAGATTATTATTTTGCAATTGACCCCTAAGAATATGTAAGGTAGGGTTGGGTAATTGATTGATCTAGTAATTAAATATATAAATATCAAATGATAAATATTATGTCTTCAAATTTATGAGATCATCCATTAGTCTCGCACACGTCTCAGACAATTTAATTAAGCAGAGCGAGATGTCAAACCGTCTGATTATAATGTATCATTTCTCTCAGGAGCTACTTCCAAAGCAAACGCAGATGAAGTCACTGACAAAAAATATCGTTGGAGTACCCCAAGGCAGTATCTGAGTCCAGTATTATTTATTCCTAATATTGATGATCTGCCTTCATCTATATAAAAAATATTGTCTTATTATGGTGTTAAAGGTATCCATACATTATATAGTTACTATGTAACTTGGACCAGTATAAAAATGAAGTGGTATATTTGTCTCAGAGTTATCAACTTAAAAATAGTTTTAAGAATGAGACTCACCAACGACTTGGAGGTAACCCACTTGACTAATCATGGGGTTGGTGTTGACCTGGCACATGTAATATCCTCTGTCCTCCTGCTGAACTTGGCTGACGTGGAGGAGCCAGGTCATCGCGTTGTCATGGGAGACACTGAACCTTGCGAGTCGGGTGATCACGTGCCGATGGATAGTCAGAATCATCTGACGGTCGATGTGGATCCACGCCACCTGGTGAACATATTGTTTTGGTTAATTGTTTGCTGTTTCTGGGTTACAAGCCGGTTTGAGAACAATTGAAATATTTAAATTTCTATCCTGCAAAGTTGTTGATGAGGAGCTCGATGGCGCAAGTGGTTAGTGTGTTCCGCTGCGATCGTTGAATTTAAGCAACTTTCGCAGTGGTCGGTCATTGGATGGGTGACCGAAAATTTACTATCTCGAGCTCCTCCGTGCTTCGGAAGGCACGTTAAGTTGTTGGTCCCGGCTGCATCTGCAGTCGTTTGCACCCACCAACCCGCACTGGGCCCGCGTGGTGGGTCATGGCCCAATCTCCCTATTCCATCCATAGGGAGGGCCTGTGCCCCAGCAGTGGGGACATTAATAGGCTGATGATGATGATGATGATGATGATGATGAAAGTTGTTGATATGTTATTTTTGCTCGGATGTTAAGTTGTCTTGCTTTCGTGGCACTCTTTGCAGAATCTAAGTTGCCTATTAAGATAAGCTCTACTTACTCTAGGAAGATAAAATACTAAGCAATAGTGTTATTTGAATGTTGTTTTTTTGTAGAATTCAGGAAGATTCTCTAGAAAGAAGCTCAATTCAAACGGAGGATTTTCTTTCAGTGTATTTTACGAGAGGCACAGATAATTGTCTCATCCATCGTAAAGCTGCGAGTAAAAAAATCATGTTCATTCGTTTAAAGTAAACTAGTTTTGCAAGCCTAATAAAATAAAAGTTGAGCCCTGTCACGAAACATAATCTATGATATGGATTATTTTGTGAAATACCCGCCGCTTTATAAACAGCGCTTTACCACTTCAAATATTCATAGAATAATTTGGAGAGCATCACTGTCCCTTGGCTGGGTGTTATAAAACTTTCATTTAGAAAACAGAAAGTTTACGAGCGGAGCTGCTATCTCACTACCGAGCTCACCTGATATTTATGTTGGCCAAACTTATGTTCCATACTAGAGGACTAAGCCAAACTCCCCGGTATAAATTTAACTGTAACACTATCGGGGAAATTGAATTCTAACCGCGTGCTGTAACATATGGCTGTTCGCCGGGATAATTCCTGCCTGATAAATACTTTCTATGTTCATAGATGGAAATTATTAATACATATTTGAACTCCGCTGAACCAGCAATTTATGTATTGAGAGAAAATCCTGATAAAAGGTACGTAGCTGTTGATATATTTTAGAGCTATAATCGGTGCACTGAATACTGATGATAATGTTCAAGCTGGAGCGTATACCTGAATCTAATGGACTACATCGAAACCGTGATCAAAACAGCTTCACGCAAACTCGGAGTCCTGAACTAGGTGCGGCGATTTTTCAGGCCCGATCAACTGTGCTTGTTATACAAAACGCAAGTGCGGTCCTGCGTGGAATATTGCTCGTACTTCAGGGATGGCTCCGCCAAGTACTTGCTCGATGCTTTGGATAGGTTATAGAGGCGCGCGATCCGCATCATAGGCGATTAGGAGGTGACTAAACACCTCGAGCCTCTTCAATTACGCCGTGACGTGGCGTTACTAAGCGCGTTCTATCGTCTGTACCACGGCGAGTGTTCTGAGGAGTTATTATCTCTTATTTCACCTTCCCCTTTCCTTCAGAGGACCACGCGCGCTGGCCTACGTCGTCACCGTCTAACTATGGCCACAATTCCAACGCGTACAAAAAAAAATGCTGACTCATTTCTTTGTCGTACTATCCGTAAATGGAATGCTCTGCCCGCTCACGTGTTTCCTCCCTCTTGCAACCTGGGATCCTTTAAAAGAGGCGTGAAGAAGCAACATGCAGGCCGGCAGGGTGATGTGGATGGCAGGTAGAACTGCTGTGTCAGCTATCTTCGCGTCTGGAATTCATCTTCACTCAACATCAGGCGAGGTGAAGTCATTTTGTGGACCAACGAGTATCTATAGACAATGGTGCTTAAACTAAGCGAATCGTTGCTTATTGCTTAGCATCATCCCAAACAGCATTAAATGTCTAGAATCTAGACATTGAGCTAAACCTGAATCTAGATGCAAAGATAACTTTTGAGGAAGTTATTTAAAAACAGTCAAACGGAATTTTTCTCTAAAAAGTTCTGAGTGCAAATCCTGGTGATGGCCTAATAAAGTAATTTGTGTAATGAACACAAATGTAAACAATGTATAATTTTCGATGAAAAGATGATGCGACAGCCTGGATCTAAGCGAGCAATTGTGTGGTAATAGTTATAAATATTATGTTAAAATATTTTAGTTTAGTAATTCGAGCATGAAATTACCATTTCTTATGTATTCCAATAATGGACGATTATATACTATTGTATCCATATTGTTTTTGTTTACTTCCGTTAATGGAATCCGTTGTTGTTTGTTTGTCCAAACTGTATTGTAGCTAGTTATAATCGCCACTGCCGGATTACTAAAAAAAAAACTAAATTTATTACAACTTATTTAATATTATTTGACTTGATCGATACTAGATACGAAGTGTCGGTTTCACGTAGTCACGTAGGCCAGCAGCGGCTTGCACGAGGCACTTGCATGTTGCAGTCTCAGCGTTTCCGTAGTTGTTGCGAAAATCAGGTCGATCGCGTGGAAATGACGTCCATGAACTTCGTGTCAGCGATCTGCATAGAGACGCGCGGTGTCTCTCTCTCTGGTCGGTCCCTCATGACTGAGGATCGTGGTCAGCATGCTGGTTGCATCTGGAATGGATGATCTGCCTCCACCGGTTTCTGTCCAGCGCGTCTCTCACAACCGTATAAAATTTGGACGACGACGTTTCTTTTATTTGATCTGTCCATCTAGTTGGTGAACGACCGCGCGATCGTTTGCCTTCAGTGTTCCCAACAACAATCAATTTTTCCAAATTGTTGTCATCCCTGCGCATTGTGTGGCCGAAGTATGACAGGATGCGTTGTCGGCATACAGTGGACAAACGAGTATTTATACGGAGCTGACTTAAAATCGATGCATTGGTGCGTTTCGCGGTGCAAGAAATTCTCAGCATTCGCCTCCAGCACCACATCTCGAATGCATCAATCCTTTGTCTTTCTCGGGCTAAAATTGCGCGCGGTGTAACAAGCTATATTAATGACGACCCTTTCGGTTTCTAAAAAAACAAACTTTATTTCGAGTTATGGATCAGAGAATATATTTAGATGTATACTCGTTTCAAGAGGCCTGAAATTCAAATTTAATTTTATTTAATTAATAGGACCACGACCTAATAAGCACAAAATACAAGCAAGCTTTCAGATAAACATTTTGTTTAAAGATAACCCAACCATTGTATTCTTTTGATGCAAAGCCTGGATAATTACAAACAGCCTTCGGGTTATATTGTCTTTTATAATTATCAACAGGCTTTGTTATTTTGCTTCACGTTTTTGGGGTTCCGTACTCAAAGCGTAAAAACGAAACTGTGTTTAAATCTAAAGAAAATATAACTAAAAAAAATTCCACGCGGACAGCAGCAGACGGGACTCGAACCCGCACCCTTCGCAATCCGGGCGAATGCACTGACCAATTATGCTACCGCGGCCCTCACGGAAAATGCAAAGAGATGGCGCTGCCTTGCAGCTTAAGAAAGGCTAGAAGAATTTCGACGCGGTCGCGCGGGGAATATTTTTTAGTTATATTTTCTTTAGATTTAAACATCAAGCAGTTACATGTTTTAAAACAAATAAAGATTATAACGAAACTGTATGTTTGTCCGTATGTCAGGGGTCTCTAGATCGTAAACAGAATGAGTTACAGAACTGAAATTTGGGTGTATTAGTAGAATGCTTGCCCAAAGCCGAATATTCAGTTGAAAAATTAATTTAAATACTTTTCATGTGGGTTCAGCATGTGACACATAATTATCTTGAGTTGGATATACATAATATAATTTTAATATTTTTTTATATTCAATAATAAAGAAATGCCGTCAAAGTTGTCAGATTTAGACTATTTTTTGTGTCTGATGTTGAATAGATACGTAAGGAACCTTTCGGGTAGTATTCCGACTAGCACATGGCCGGTTTTTTAAAATTTTCTTTCATCATCATCATTAGCCTATTAATGTCCCCACTGCTGGGGCACAGGCCTTCCCTATGGATGGAATAGGGAGATTGAGCCATGACCCACCACGCGGGCCCAGTGCGGATTGGTGGGTGTTAACAACTGCAAATGCAGCCGGGACCAACGGCTTAACGTGCCTTCCGAAGCACGGAGGAACACGAGATAGTAAATTTTTGGTCACCCATCCAATGACCGACCACTGCGAAAGTTGCTTAACTTCAACGATCGCAGCCGAACGCGCTAACCACTTGCGCCATCGAGCTCCTCAAATTTTCTTTACGGCAGCAGAATTAGACTATTTCAAAACACTTTTGTTTTTCCTTCACAAATCTCTATATCCTCATATCAACGTTAAATGTCTTATCTCCTAACACCGTTGATCCGCATAAGTAGCTACGCAAACGTCGCCGGAACCGAAGAGCAAACAAATCTCTAACTACGGAACTAGCTGGATCTTCAGTACCACGCATCGCTGTTTACTTTGACAAAGTCACAACCGCGTTAAATTTACCCGGGGAGACCGCAGGATGGAACCGTATCGCATGGTTCCCAACTTAGGGGTTTTGCCCCTAGATTTAGGTGCTAGAAGGGTTAAAACGGACTTTTTTAGGGTCCGGAATTTTTTGGGGGTTCTTTTAGGGGCTTTTAAAAAAACTTGCAATTAAATAGAAAAAGAAAAGCGTTTGTTTTCTTTCAGTTTTGTGCGTAGAATGGAACACACCACGATATGAAACGACTGAACTGACTGTGTGGCAGGTTGTTTCCTCAGGCTGTATGGACTTAAGTTATTTGCCTTTCACCAATCAAAACAGTTTATTAAGATTTAACAGCCTGGCAGCTCATTTTCGTTTGATTTTTCATACGGAAAATGTAATTATTCAATAAAATAATTTACTGTAACTAAATATGTAACGTTTTAATTTATGGGCAACGAAA